AAGGACCAGTTGGTCGTCGCCCAGGAGTCGATTGATCAGGTCGTGTGGCACGCCGATCCGCACCAATGCAGCCCGGTCCATGTTGCGGAATGTCGCCAAGTCGTCTATTCCGGCTAGGGCAACGAGCGGGGCGATCGCCAGCAAGGACCGCTGGTGTAGCCATGCTCGAATGTCACGGAACGTCATCTCGGGGTGATCTGTATCAAGGGCCGAGAGGGGCCAAAAATGGCTATGTAAAATGTATCAAAGGTTTGCCACACGTGGAGACAAAAGCACAATGCAAACAATCAAGGTGAGCGAAAGTTCGGGGGGATTTAGGGGTGTTTGGCTTCAAACACATGGTGCGCCTTTTGCTCTTTGCACGGGTGTCCTGACGTACTGCCAAACGAGGTTGCACTTCGGCGGCAGGTTCAGGAAGATGGGTCGTGCGAAGGCAACCGCGTTGGTCGGACCCTCCGGGCTCGCGCGGGACACGGACGCCCTTCGGGTCGTAGTGGTTGCGGTGCTGGTCGAGGTCCGTCACAGGGCGCTCAAGTGGTTGAGACGGTCCGCCCCCTCGAGGTCTTGGCAGGTCCAGAGCTTGAGGCGGCAAAAGCACAGCCCCATCACTCTGGCGAGGTCCGAGGACTCAAGGATGCGGGTGGAACTGGGGTCGTAGCGATAGCGCCGCATGTCGTAGAAGGGCGTGGCGGGTTGGTGGCGTTGTCGCTTCTGGCTGGGGAGCAGGTCGACTCGGAGTGGCTTGATGCGTCCCAGGTTGCGCTGGGCGACTTGCTCCAGCTTCTCTTGGGTCCAGAAGGTCCTGTGCATGTATGGCAGTTTCTGAGCCGTCTGCATGTTGTTCATGATCATGTCGGCCAGATAGGCGCGGGGGTCCTTGGCTTGTCGCAGGTCGGATGCGATCTCGTTGATGTGGACCTTCATCTGTTGGATGAGCTTGCCGGTCGTGTCCTCCTCCCAGCGAAGAAGGTAGAGCATGTAGCGCCGGTCGTCGTCGCCGGTGATGGCCTCTGCCAATTGGTCTGTCTCGTGTGCTCCAGCGGTGGCGCGTACCACGAGGCACTTCTGGGCCGGCACGAAGCGTTCTGTGTCGTCTTGGCCAGCTGCGGTCAGGGCCTCCCCTCGGGATGCGGCTTTGGCGTCACTGTAGGTTTTCCAGGGGTGGTATTGCTGGAGGCACTCGGGACAGAAGAACTGGCCGTGCTCGGTGATGTTGGCGGTGGCGCGCAGCCAATGTGACGAATGTACCACCGCTTTGCACGACTGACGTCGGCAGATAAAGTGCTCGTCGGTGGACGGGAGGACGCGGGTGATGAAATCGGTGAGGTGTGTGGGATAGTCGTCAGAGTCCAAGAACTCAAGGAGGGTCCCGGTGCTGTTTGCGCGCAATGCCTCGGTGAGGTGCTGCCTCTCCCATTTGTGGAACATGAGGAATAGGTCTCGTCGGTCCTCGGGTGCCAGGTTGATGAGGTCGAGGCACATGGTTTCGGCGAGGAACTTGGAGTGGTCGCTGATGAGGCGGCGCAGGTGGTTGTTGGAGGTTCCGGGGTGGATCTCGCGCAAGGAGTCCATCATGTCCATGTGGGTGTTCGTGCGGATGGTGCCGACGGCCTTGTTGGTCATGTAGTCCAAGCGGCGTCGCCATGCTCGTCGGCACAGCTTGCTGAACACCTCGAGGGTGAATGGCCGGCGGTTCTTCACGTCGAGGGCTGGTACCCTGATCCAGCGGCGGTTGACCTGGTCCCACCTGTGCACGGTGATGTAGGCGTCGTGAGCGTCGTCCGTCTCTGGCACCGCAATCTGTAAGGTCGGTGGGGCGATGGTATGGTCGCTGATCATGGCCGCGAGGTCGGGGTGCTCTGCGATGGTGTTGTACGGTGCGTGTTCTGCAATCAGGGAGTTCGGGTCGGCCAGGAGCTCCTCGAACTGGAACCACGGCACGCTACTGGTGTCGCAGGTAGCGCACCCGTAGCACGCCCCGACCCACTTGTTTCGCCAGTCGGTTTCCTCTGAGAAGCAGAGGGGCATGATGTACTGGGATTGGTATGGGATCTGGCAGAACGAGCACTGCAGTGTGGCTGGTGTTGGATTCAGGTTGTGCCAGTCCAGCAGCAGGTAGCGTGTCCGTGTGTCCGGCTCGGTGTTGGTCGACTCCATGAAGAGGTCGATCGCGTCCGTGGTGGAGAGGCGGGGATTCTCGGTGCGGAAGGTCTGGAACCTCGAGAGGACGCCGGTGTTGTAGGACCGCAGGAGGAGCTCGCAGACTGCGTCGGTCTCGCGAAGTGCCATGTTGTGCGAAGGGGGTGCGATATCGGATACACAAAAGCCAGCCTGAAAATTCCTTCGGAATTGGAGGTGGCGCTTGCCGAACTCACGCAGGAGTCGGTAGTGTGCCGGGTGTGAGTCAAAGGGGGGGGGGTTGGTCGGGCCAGGGGGGTGTGTCTAGGTGACTCGGGTCCAAGGATGGCCCGTTGATGGGGGGGATCTGTACGACGCGCCACACCGGCACAAACGTCGTGTTAGATGACACGCCACACCGGCACAAATGTCATCCCGAGGGGTGGAGCTGTCCCGTAGGACCAACTCCCTGCGGTGTGAAGGTGACCGGGGTCGGCCAGTTTGTCATCAGGGATCCGACCCGAAGAAACCGAGGGTAATCCACAGGGGATCCGAAGTGGGGTGAAAGACCGGTCGGGTTCGGGGCAGGCGAGTGGGGATTGGTCACCGCAGTATGGGCCTCAGCAGTGGGTCGGTTTGTCAAGGGGTATCCTCTCGAATCAAACAGGGGGGACGAAGAGGGTCGACCCGGGCTCGAGGCTCTCAGCGCTTTTGCGCGGTCCGAAGATGGATCTCTCTTCGGGAAAAGGGGGCCTCAGGCGGTCGCCTAGGCATGGGTGTCACCTGTGCGGTATGAGGGTCATCGCCCTATTGCTGGCCCACCATCGCACGGGACATGGACTTGGTGGGTCAACTTAGGGTGGCGGGTTTGGAGACTCCTCGGTGCCGCCTGGTCAGTAGCGGGAGTCCTGGCTCTGCTCAGTCTTAGAGCTCCCGGTTGAAGCGCAGGTGTCCGTCGGGGCCGAGCAGGATGCCCTCGATGGTCGCCATGGTGCGTTGTTCGGGGGTCAGGAAATTGGAAATTGTCTCAATGATGGTCTCCCCGAAGGTGATTGCCATGTTGTCCACAAAAGGGTCTCGCCGGGAGGCGCGACAGAGCTGCCTCCCGAAGGTAAGCCAGGAACAGGTCAGTTGTTGTAGCATGTGCTGCCGGTTGGCGCTGTTGAGCAGCTGGAGTTGTTGGTGAACGTGTTGCTGGATAATCCAGCGCAGCAGGCTCCTGAGAGGTGTGACCTGCGTAGTTGGTTCCACGGGTACAAGAAAAAGGCCCCCGAAGTCATTGCCGTACACATTGGTGGGGGTGCGCGAGAAGATGCCGTAGTTGGTCAGGTGCCATTGCAAGCCGATGTGGTCGAGGACGGAGGGGAATTCCGGTAGCAGTTCCGGATTGATCAGGAAGGTGGCATCTTCGTGTACCCGCGCGCGGATGTGTCCGGCCCGCTGGGTTGACAGCAGGCCTTGTGTGCTGTCGTCACGGTCGATGCCTGGCGGCTGGAGCCACTGGACTAAGTCGTGATGTTGGTTGGATGGTGTGGGGGGTGCCGCCTTGGATGGTGTGGTGGGTTGCGGGCGTGGTGAAGGCATGTGGTGCGGGACGGGCCCGGTCGATGTGGTGGTCGCCTCCGGGAATCGGGCCTGTCTGGGAGTGTCGCGAGCCGTGGGTGTCGCGAAGTTGACGGTCCGCGGTGGTGTCATAGCTCGGGAGTATCCCGGTTGTGTGGAGCGGCCTCGCTGCTGTCGGGGGGTGTTGTTCCGTTGGCGAGACGGGTTCAATGTGCTTGGCGGGCCACGTGGTACCGCGTATGGCATCTGGTAGGTGCACGGATCGGGGTACCGAACGTTCATGTGGTGAATGGGCGTATTCCACTCGCCGTGAAGGTGGTCGCGGAGGATTTCAAAGGCCTCCCGCCTGGACACGAAGCGCCATTCACGGTGGGCTGTGTCATAGTGGATGCCCACGCCGGTGTTGGGTCTGGCATGGTGCACGAAGCGCAGCCAGGCAAGAAGGTCACCATGCAGGACTGAGTCGCTGTGAACATGGCGGCATTCGGCACCACTGTCGCAAAAGCCTTCTGGATGCCGGGCCTGTTGTCGAAGATGTCGGTAACAGATGTTGTCTCGCGGCATCCAACGCGCATCAACGAACTCCGGATGCAAAAAGGCGCACTGGTGGGCAGAGGCAGGTGCACGTCCCCTGCAGCCGGAATGGTTGATGAACTGGTTGCAGACCTGATTGCCCTGCAAGATGTTGCCCGGACCGACCGCCTCGGGCAGGATCGAAAGATGGTCTTGAAGGGCCCGGTACAGTCGTTCATAATCCGGGTCGAGCTCGGTCATTTCCATGAGCTGGTACTCCTCCACGATGGATGCGAAATTCGCTGGAGCAGTCATGGCGGTCGAGCAGGCAGGGCAGGTAGGTCGGAAAGAAAAGAAAAATTTGGCTAATTCGCCAAAATGGCGAACGGAGCATGAATCAAGCAGTGTCATCCTGCAGGCACTCAAGGTTCGAATCTGAGTGTGATTCAAATGCCTTCCGCTATCGGTTGTTACTTTTAACACAAGTGTTAACCGCGACAAACGGGAACCTTGATGTCAGCCCCAGCTTTTGACAACATTTCAGCACCCTGATGACAATCCAGGGTGTGCTGGGGAAGAATGTACAAGGCCAGACACAGACTCTTGTGACTGTAGGAATGATGGGAAATGTTCTTTTCTGTGGCACCCACGCTACTTTCTCGCTAGGATCCCCCATTGGAAGTGGGCAGCTTTCCCACTTATTGGTCTTCTTGCCGAGGTGACCAAAAAGGCTTGCCAAACGGAGATCGATGCCACCTTGAGTGTATCCGAATCGGAACGCAGCGAACGAATCGAAGGCTCCCCGCCACGGAGTGACGAAGGCCACCAAAGCCATCTGACTCTTCCGCAAGGTCTCAGCAAAGGTGGCCTACGGCAACGGCAAAAAGGCTCGCTCGGCCGCGAGCGATGGGACCCAGAAGGCAGTTCGGGCTTGGTTCGTGGTTGGTTCCTAGGCGAATTGGTGGGATAGCTGGTGGCACTCTTTGAAAGGCAGCTATCAGTCAAGGGGCGGCATGACTCGATGAATTCAGAGTCATTTCTGCCAAGAGTTGCTTTGGAACGACTGAACAAGAACATTAGCTATTGGCGCCAACAAAAGATGACATCAGCCAGCAGTTTGGCAAATTGCTGGTCAGGGACAGGTCACATTGGTGCCTAGACAAGGATGACTTGCGCACTGGTTGTGTTTTATGTACATTTGGGGTGGAACAATGTGAGAGTATAACGTGGGACAGGAGGTGCCTGCATTCTATATTCTAGCGTTTGCAAAGTGTGCTTGTGCAACGATATATACAACAAAGCCTCACACCAACTCCAAATCGACCGGGAACAAGCATGAGCATGGACCAGCAGTCCATCTGTGCTGCCCTGTGTTTTTGACTCACTGGTGAACCTTCAAAATGGTACACAGGGTGATCCAAGACCAGAGCAAGCGATCCGTTTTCCAGAGGCAAAAGCGAATCTGCCCCCTGTTGTCTTGAGCAGTGGTCAAACATCTCTATCTTCTCTGGCAAATCTAGTTCGCTGCAAAAATGCCCGTTCATGCCGAACACTTCAGAATCCAAAGGCTCCAATCTTGTTTTGCAGGGCCTCCCTCGTTTTCATCTCAGCTTCGGGTCGGAGAGTAGCCAAAACTGGTAGGGTTTTGGGAATGAAAGGTTTCGGTCCCTAATCCCAAGAGGCTACCACTTGGATGCAAAATAAGGAACCCCCCAAAGTGGCTTGGCTTTCTTTTGGGTCTTCCTTTAAACCAACCTGAGTCATAATTGAGTCATAATCAAAGCCCGGTATCAACATGGCCTACCCAGAACCATGTAAAGAATTAAGAAGGCGAGCTATTTAGCTATTTCTGGGTGGGATTATCCCTTACTAACCTCCATCTACCCGGATCTTGAGGACGTGGCTCACCTGGAACGTGTACCCTCAGGAACCAAGCTCTGCCCTCCGCCTCCGTGAGGCTCACGATGCGCTCGGAGCCCATCACCTCAATTGTTGTTTAAATTTAAAAAAAAAATGGTTCGGCAAAACGAAAGGAAAACGAAGCGATATTTGGAGGTCCCCCCCCCCATATTCATACCTAGCAATTTGTGAGTGAGTAGTTGGACCCCTTGGTAAAAACATGGGATTTGCGGTGCTACATCAGTTATGTTGAAATTGGAACATCACTTACATGGGGGTGGTGCTGGTTAGTTGGTTGGACCACTTGGTGACTGGTGGACATCATTTACATGGGGGTTGTGTCCACCAACCTTGTTTATGGAGTTCCCTATTTGAGATTTTATACGCGATTCTTGACCGGTGGACAGGACAGGGATCAAATTCTGTAAGTCCCCTACTTTCCATGGGATATGTAGTGATGTCCCTCTCAAATTGACCGTGAACGACTTTAAATGTCTGCTCTCAGCACCCTTGCAAACCCGACCACACAATCCCATGGGCCAGTTGCAAGTAACAGATCAGGTTTATGATGACATTGAACATGCGATTGAACCGCGCTCTCAAATGACAACTGCGGGTGAGCAAACATGGGGAGACAAGCATTCCTCCACTTCGACAAGAAACCAAAGGCCTCCTGGCACAACAAGTGCCAAAAGCAAGCATTGGTCCAAAATCCAAGACACCGCAAGAGCAAAAATGTAGCGTGCAGAGTGCAAACACCTTGGCCTCATCCTTCCGATTCCTTTGCAAGGCATTTTGCAGGATGCGTATAGCTGAGCTCTAACCAATCTGATTTTGCGGTTTAATTTCAGATTGACAGTATGCGCAGCCATTCAAGCTGTGGACCAGCGACAAGGGAGCGCACATATACACACACACACCACACATACACGGAAAAGGTGTCTTTCCCAAGCATCGCTGCACAGTTCATTTATGAAAGACGCGATGCCCAAATCGCGCAAGGTCCAGAAAAAACCAACTGCATCCTTTGCTCCACATCTGGCCCGCCATTTCCGGCACACACTCGTATCTCCCTGCCAAAACTCTCGCCAGACCCGCCTCCGTAAGTGAGACCAGCAGCGCCAAAAGCCCTCGCAACCAGGGCGCACGATCAGTTTTTGGCGTTACAATGGCACCTACCAGTTGCTAGTTAAGGAATGAGCCATAGGTGTAGCTGTAGAGGAGCAAAATGGCAAAGTCTCCTGAGGTCCTAATTTGTGAGGCGTATTTAAATCTGAGGCCATTGGTAAGGCGCCAATGAGGTTTAGCCAGACGTGAAAGATTAAGCAAATCGGCACTCGTCAAAGCGGCTGCCAAAATCGAGCTTTCTTTGTGTGCGGTTGTCTATAAAAGAACAAAAAAAGGAAGCATATGTCGTGCGTGTGTGTGTGTGTTTTAAATGAGGGGGACCTAAAAGGGTGTTTTCCTTGTGGTGTCCCTTCAGCCGAGGTGAAAAAAGGTTCCCTCAAATGAAAAGCTCAAGGGAGCAGAAACACTGAATAACCGGAACCCAAGCGCAGGGGGGTTGTGGGTCTCGCCCCAAAGTATGCAGTTCAGTTCCGTCATGTTCTCAACTTGAAAAGCATAAAGAATTCCCAGTAGGTCCAGTTGAACCCTTTTTGATCCCCTAAAATTATCTATTTATTTTTATGTATTATTTGTTTCTTAAAAAAAAAAAAAAAAAAAAAAAAAAAAAGGATATCCCCAACAGCAACACGCCCGTGTGGGATCTGCAAATGCGGGAAAAAACTCAAGCACGCCTGAATACCTCAGGAACATTCCTTGAACCTTACCCCGAACCTCCGGAACCTTGCTTGAACCTTACAGCTGGACTGCTTTCAACCTCCGGAACCTTGCTTGAACCTTACAGCTGGACTGCTTTCAACCTCCGGAACCTTCCTTGAACCTTACCGCTTGCACTTGGCCTGCACCAGACCACCCCGGAACCTCCGGAACCTTGCTCGAACCTGACTCCAGAGCTCCCCCGAGCTACCCCCAAACCTTATCTCGGCTGAGACCCCTTAGCTTTCAGCTGTTGGGGAATTAATCCCCTTAAAATATTTGTTTGGATCCCCTTAATATTTTTGCATCCCCTATTTTTTGTTTGGGGGGGGAACCCCTTGATAATTTTTACTTGATGCTCATCCCTGCTCTAGGGGTGTCCCACTTCAGGCGGGAAATGACTCGGCGACCCTGCCTCTGGCTGCTCGCGCCATGGCGGCAGAGCGAGCGAGCCTCTCACGCCTCAGCAAATTGGTTGCTCCGATGGCCTGACAAACTGAAACCACTGCAAACCCAGGAGTGAAACTAAAACCCAGGAGTGGAAACCACTGGAAACCCAGGAGTGAAACCACTGCAAACCACTGGAAGCCACTGGACGCCCAGGTTGTTTTTGAGTTCGGAGTGCCCCATTTAAGAGGGGGATTCTTCTCTTGTCGGGGGGAACACCCCCCCAATTCATCGAGCAGGTTGAGTATTCAATCCGGGGCCGACATTAGACCACAAAAGCGACCAGGAGAAAAATCACCCGATCCAGCCCTATGCAAGCCAAGCCAGCTTTCCGCTCAGCATTTCGCGCACACCCATCCTCCAACCTCGAGCCAAGCTTTCCGCTTGAGAACTCAAGCCCATCCCGAAGCACGTAATTGCAGGGCCTGCGTGATCGAAAGCAAACCCCTTAAATGAGCAACGAAGATCAGCTCGTCAAGTCAGAGAGTAGCGATCACGCAAACCCACATAATCGCAAAACGATATAGGGTCAAACCCGGGTCAATAGAAAGCCACCTGCCAGGTCCCTCGCAAAGGGCGGCTAAAGCCTCCCGGCTTCAAATTCGGGCTGCGACCGCAGGCTTGGCCGAAATGAGCTGGGGCGGCAGCCCCCCAAAAGTAACATTCCCAGTTTCTCCTGGTCTTCTCCTTTCCCAACAGCCACAGGATCAGCTGTCACAAGGCCCAATGGGGTGAACGGCTACACCTTTGACCAAAATCGACATGGATCCTTCTCGGTCAAGCGCCTAGAATTCAGCAGCTGAACCTGCAATATAGACATAACTTACAAAAGTGGGGCGCAGATCTGCGCCTTTGCTCCGCTGTATGTGTGTTGTGTATTGATCGAAGGTGCATCCGCAAAGGTGTGTAACAGGCTGCAAGCTGCGCAAGGGCGATGGGCATTGGTTAACAGAGAGAATTGCAGTGATGCAATTTGACAAGAGCATGTGTAGATATTACATGTGGCATGACGTGCACATGCCGGGACGACCCTGTTGGGACGACCCTGTTGGACCATTCAACACAAGGACTTGGGGGGGTGTATCAAAATTGTTGAACAAATATATTACACCCTCTTTGGATTCATTTCGTCCGATTTGGCTCATGCCAAATGGCCTGTGCGGCGTGCCCATAGGCCCCACCCAAAGGCGCTCACTCGGAGCTTGAGCCGCCTCAGCTTGGAGCTTTCAGGCGCTCAAAGGATTTGTTGCCTTCTGGTTTGCCTTTTGGTTTGCCTCTTGGTTTCCTGTTGGTTTCCTGTTGGTTTCCTGTTGGTTTCCTGTTGGTTTCCTTTGCCAGGCCGGGCTGCTTCCGTGCTGACTCATATGTTCAAACGAACCAATACAATGAGTGCGTGTGTGCTCTCACACTCTATCTCTCTCTCTCTCTCTCTCTCTCTTTCTGTCTATATCTGTGCATTCACATATATATATATATATGTATACATTACATATATAATTATATAATACAAATACATACATATACGTATCATCAAACATATGCAGATGTAAAATACACTTGATGAACATAGTTGTCCCATTGCGCCCAGGCAGCTTTCATGTTGGTCAATACTGCGCTTGCATTGGCAGGTGTGACTCGCTCTGTGGGATGGGTAATAACGCGGCTCATGCGCGTTTGAAAGGAAACAACAAAGTGTCCCTATCGCTGACAATTTCCAAAGAAGAGCGAACTAGATCCATTAAAGTGAACAGTTTCAGGGCTGGTGTCCCTTTGAATCATCATTTAGAGGTTGATTTTGAGGATGTAACTTCACTGAACCCAGGCAATCCCGACCCCGCCCCGCGACTCCAAGCGGCTGTCGGCCTGCGCAGGCGAACTCCAGACTTCGGGCATCATTTTTTCCGCTGTCCAGAATTTCAGCTAAGCGAGCACTCCGTTGGAATCTGATGCCCCACATGCACAGAAATGAAAGCCGGACCAGGACCACCGCGTGTTCAGAAAGCATGCGCAAGGTGTGTATTGTGCATTCATTTGGTTGTGCCTTGTATGAATCCTTTCCACTGCCGGTCGTCCTGCACTTCACCTGGTGCCTCTGATTTTTGATCGGCTCTTGAAAGATGTGGAAAGAAGAAGCAGCTTCCGAGGCGCGGGAACACAACATGAGGTTTCCGGGAAGCCTTCTATTCAGGGAAAGCCGAGGTGTGAGCAATTGGCAAAGATCCGATCCATTTAGTTCTGATTCCACATGGTCGCTTGCATGCGCTTTTCCAGTGCTTTTGATTGATTGCTAGATGCTTGACAAAAGAAAGACAGAAAGAACGAACGAACAAAGGAAAGAAAGCAAGCAGGAAGGAAAGAAGGAAAGAAACAAGGCAAGAACGAAAGAACAAAAGAACAAAAGAAATAAAAGAAGAAAGAAAGAACGAGCGAAAGAAAGGACTAAAGAAAGAACGAAAGAATGACAGAACGGACGAACGAAGGAAAGCAAGAAGGAAAGAAAGAAAAAAGAGCGAAAGAACGAAATAAATAAGGAAGGAAAGAAAGACAGGCAGGAAGCAAACAGACGGAAGGAAAGGACATCTATCAAAAGCAGAAAACACGTGGAGCAGCCTTCCGAACAGCCTTGCCGTCTACCCCTCCCCCCAAGGCCTGCACAAGCCGCCGCTTGGCAATCCGCTGAGGACGATCGAAGTGCTTCCTTGGCAGTCGTTGAGGCTGATGCCCATCCACTCAAACAAAATGCTTCTGGATTCCATGGTGATAGAGGGCCACCTCAAGCCAAGTGTGTCAAAAAACAAGCAAGAATGGCTTTGACTCCAACTTGGAATTGAATCCCAAATGTTCTTTCTCAGTTTCCCGTTTTGTACCCTTGGTGTCCATTTGCTTTTTTCTGGTTTCCGGTCCGGTTCCCTTTGCTTTCTATCCGGTGGAACTGCAGCCGAGCGTCTGCACTTTGGGCGAGCGCACAAAGAGGCAGGTGAGGCCGGTGCACACGGCGAGCCTCAGACTGAAGCGACGAGCCCTTGAGACAAAGCCCGGGGAATGAACTGAAAATCATCATAAGAAACGTCACACAAATACTCAAGGGCTTGTTTATAAACATCATTTGGGAGTCTTGTGTCGAGGTGTGGTTGTGGGAAAAATCGATGGCGCCACCTGCTTTCAACCAAACTGACCTACGCTGCTCCCACCAACAAACATGGAAGTGTGAGGAACACTTCTAAAGTCTGAAGGGGGTCTCGCCATTTTGTTTGTTGTATTTTGTCGCAAACAAGAAAGTCCACCTCCATAGCTATGGCTGACATGGTAACAGCCCCTGCCCAAGCAACTTTTGGTTCCGCGACCACTTTGTTCATTGTCACATGTTTAAGCTGTTTTTGTCACAGAACTTCGGGCAGTCGGGCCCAACACAAAGTAGTCCTTAAACCAACTTTATACAAGATGAGTTTGCGCCTTGTTGCGTAGGCGTAAGATCGGAACTCTGGCATCACAAGCCGAGACATGCGCGAGAAATGGGCCAGAAAACTTCAGCCGCTGCGCGCGCAGCAACAGAGAAACGGGTACTACTCTGAACAAGAGTGGTGCAGCACCATGGATTTGGGAAGTGCTTACGCCGACTCGAGCACGCCACACATCATCGCTCGTGCACTGAAAGAGGGAAACGACCGGTGAAACCCGCAGTTCGTGCCTCCAACGTGTTTCCTAGATTGAGGATCTGGGCTTTGCGTATTTTTAAGAGCTGCACAGACTGTTGGAATTGCATTGGAATGAACTTGCTTAGAGTGGAGAGCTCAGCTGGGCACGGCAGCTGGCAAATGGGCCTGTTCATGTTTATGGCAACAGAAAGAAGATACTTAGGGAAAATGGGATAGGGCAAACAGAAAGCACAAGGAAGAACCATGGCACATGCATCAGCCAAGCCTGGGGAGGGCCACGCCGGTCAATCGACAGGTTCAAGATGAGGAAATTTTGGTGAGGCTTTGGGAAGCCGCCGAACAATTTCTGCTCGCCTCGCGCAGGCCGTGGCTTGTCTCGGGCGGCGAGCTGTTCTCGCCCCAAGCTGTAGACGGCGATGCTCTGAACAGAACTCGTGCGAGTCACACGGAAAAGAAACATACGTCCCCAGGCTTGGGCCGCGTCTGTTTTCCCTCTCTTGATCCTTGAGAACTGCATTTCATGAGCAAGCCTGTGAAAGCCACATCCTCTACCCAAAAATCGCGGGTTGAATTCAAGAGGTGCTCCTGCGCGCCGCGCCGCGCGCGCGCGCCGCGCGCACGCACGCACGCACGCACGCACGCACGCACGCACGCACGCACGCACGCACGCACGCACGCACGCACGCACGCACGCACGCACGCACGCACGCACGCACGCACGCACGCACGCACGCACGCACGCACGCACGCACGCACGCACGCACGCACGCACGCACGCACGCACGCACGCACGCACGCACGCACGCACGCACGCACGCACGCACGCACTGAGAAGAGCACCAACGCTGAAAAACAAAATCTGGGGCATCTGGCTGCTTGGCACCACAGAAGGATTCAGCTTCACTTTCTCTCGTCGGGCGTGCTGTCAACCAAGGGTTCGCGCCGGGACCGTGCCTCGTCCCCATCTGCGGAAGATGGAGCCGTTGCTGCTGGTCGAACGCCCTTCCTGGGCTGAACGGCAGACAGCTCAACTTCTGAAACCGGCGCATCCCATGTCAACAGACAGCCCCACCTGCACAAAGAGCCAAGCAACTTATCCATCGTGCGCATGCCCGGCCATGTGAAGGCGAGAGACAGGCTCATGATGCAGCTCACCTGGAACGCTGCGGCAACGCGACGGCTGTTGCACGGAAACTGCTTGGGAAACAAAAAAGAAAAAACGAAAAGAAAAATTGGAAAACAAAATGTTGAGAAGAAAATTCGCCCGGGCACCGCGTAGAAAGGGATGTAGCGCCCAAAAATGCCAAATTGATTGCACTGAGCCAGCAGCACCGCTGCAACCGGCGGAAAAAGAGCACGGCACAATGCACCTGGATCAGGGCAAGCCTCACTGACCCTTGCAATGTGAAGTTTGCCAACGACTGACAACCTGTCAGCCATGGTTCTCTGTTTTCTATGTGTTGTCAATAAGTTTTAAGCTGCTTTGTCACGACTGGACGTGCAAAGGCAACCACCTAGGGACCTAGGGCCCAGATTGCTTGCAGTTCACACGCCTCCTGAATTCGTCCAGCCATTAATGGCGCCACGGTTCGAGCTGTCTGCAGAGCGATTGACGAAGGCAAAGACCGTGGGGAACAGGAGTCCGGTGGCGGCAGTAAAAACAAAATGGCACAAGCCCAAGGGCAGGTAACGCCAATTGCCATAGGCCGGATCTGCAAACATGCCATACACTGGGAAGAGGGCATAGGAGAGGTTCAAACATAGAAAGCCCACCTCGCGGCCCGCTTGCTAGGAAGACCTCTTCTTTTCTCAAGGGCTCAACATTGGCAAGGCAGAGTACAGCTGCTTAAACCCTGGCTCACGGCCAATTCTGAAAGGCCCATGGCAGAGACAGAAGGGAAAACCTTAGGCTCAATGGGTGGCCCGTGCTCATAAGCTGGTATGGCTTGTAATGAGGTTGTTGCATTGTCTTTTCTCAAACAAGAGGGAGGGGACACAGCATCTGCCATCGGTTCGCGCCATCGGTTTGTTGTTATTAAAACATAAACAATAACGAAAAAAACGTGACTCGAGAAGTCGCGTGTTGGTTCAGCTGCGCGGCCAAGTAGGTGGACAAAAAGCCCAACTTCTTCGACATTCTCGGGTACACAAAAGTCTGGCACAGCAGCAGTCCCACGGCACCTCAAACTTGCCAAACCCTTGACGGGAAAAACGTTGAAAAGAAACCAGCATTTGGGTGTGTCTTCTTTTGAAGGAGCGCCGTTTTGAATGGAAACCAACAGGAAAACCACCGGGTCTCCCTACAAAAAGACACACCCATTTCTTGATATTGTAGAACCCGCATGGCCCCTCCAATTATGTACTTGCTTGTGCTCGTGTACATCATGGCACGATGACTAGCTATGTTTCAAGTCGCTTGTCTACCTGCAAGCCAAAACAACGTTGCTCCCTGCCTATATTTTGCAGGATCCCAAGCTCATGAGGGCCAAAGTCAAAGCCATCTGCTTCGCGGTCATACGAAACCACCAGGATCATCAACTGTCGGAAAGAGGCCACGCAGCCAGACAAGCTGCAATACGTCAGTATGGTCTGGGTGGTCGCCAACGGAAAACACCGCGCGCCGTCGGAGTTTGCTGCGCCCTCAGCCAAACTCTGCGCATCTGGTGTCTGTGCCGCCTGTCTTGCTCGCCGCCGCACGCAGCGCCGGCTCTTCGGCACAGTTTCCTCTAGAAAGATGGCACCAATCACCCAGGCGATGGCCGCCAAAATCACGTACGACACGTTGGGCAGGAGGAAGGGGCGGCGATCAAAGATCGTCCCCCCGAAAATTCCCGGTGCCCACTGAGCCGGGTAGACCAGCGAGCCCCCAAGAACTGGCCCCACCACAAGGCCGAAAGAGAAGCAGGTGGCGATCAAACCGAATGCCCGAGCCTCGTTACTTGAGTCCACAATTTCACCTAGGTAGGTCCGGGTGACGCCCATATTGCCACAAAAGAAGCCGTCGAGAGCCCGCGCAAAAAAAATGACCTTAGCCGGCCAACCGTGCAAAGAAAACATACCCTATATAAGTTCTAATCGAAGGAGGAGTTGCGAAGAAGATCTTAAGTTGCATCTTCAAACATAGCTGAACGTCTGCTGTTTCATATGGCCTGGCGACAGGCAAACTCTCCCCCAAGCCGAAGATGATGGGCGCTATCGCTGACCCTGCCAGGCCAATGAGGAGGCAGGGCTTCCTCCCCGCAAAGTCCGCAAAGGCACCCCAGAACGGAGAGACTAGCACCTCGCCTGAGCTGACCAATTGGGGCAAAGGCCAGAGTCAAGTTGGACAAAGCGCTAGACGAAGAAAACAAACACCGTTTAAGACACCGATGGTCCTGAAATCGGACCCACATGATCCATTCATCCCGTTTCTCGATTACGTGAACAGCCACGAGGGGAATCAAAACGTCTGTGTCGGATATATTATGTACAAGGTCAGGGCTTGCGATGCGACCTATTCGGCACACGTTGGGACTGTTGGGATAATTGGGGATATGTTTGTTCGCCTAGAAGCCCATGTGAAAACCGTTTTGTGGAAAGCTGCTTGTCTTGCAGTTCCAAAGGGCAAGTCGCATAAAGGGTAGAGCCCGATGAGCAGGCTAACCATGTGGGCAACCTCAGGGATGCGACCCCCGTGGTTTACCATGCCTTGGGTACCTTGCTTTGCGGCCCTCGGCAAGAAAGCCGTGTTGAGAAGAAACATCAAAACTGTCCTCGGGACTCTGCGGGCTCTTGCCCAAAAAAGTGGAAACCATCTTGTCCACGTAAGGGGTGAGGAGATTGATGTTGATGCAATCCTGAGCGCTAAATTCAGCATCTGGAAAATGCACAATGGCCCAAACATACCCTCCCAACCGCAAGTTGCTGGCTTGTTGCCTAGAGTCAGTCAGATTCATCGCTCCCAGCACAAACAGCGTCTTGGTCGTGAGCCGTGGTTTGGCAGCCTCATTCCCTTCGCCTGTCACTGCCATCGCCCCGACTGCCATGGCTTACCAAGGCTCGGGTCTAGCACGCCTCGCTAAGCTACATCGCTGAGCCGGTGGTGGCCGACGCCCGAGGCCCAGATCTGAATGCGAAACCTGATTGCAAATCCCTGTGTACCAAGTGTCCAGCCAAATGGCCTGATGTCATGAGTGAGAGCACCATGCAACCATACATCTCTCAGTGTCACCCTGCGGGGCAAAACAGCTCGACAGTCGGTTTGCAACCAACTTTCACTGATGCTCCTCTCCTAATTCGAGTCGCGCCAAACAGGAATGCAACTGCCTTGCAGCCAAGCCGCAGCACGCCCAAACCCACAAAGCCCCAAGCCTTGCAAGGGAGGCCGTTCAATGCTCAAGCCAAAGGCATGATGGCTAGCAGACTCTGTGCGGCTCACGATCGTAGGCTTCCATCCAAGCACAACAATTGCGAGGCATGCACATCTGGCGCAGCCGGACCTTCATAGGCGGCCTTTTGGGAAAATAGATGGCCCTGGTAAATGGAAGAGACCCCACCTAAACCAGTGCCATCTATTTTTCATCAAACTAACCTTAAAAGGACACCTATGCGGACCTTCCTTCCCCCCAGCGCGGCGCGCGCGCGCGCGGCGCGCTTGAGCGGCGCCTGCCAGCTGAGGCCCTGCTGAAGGGAGGCCAGTGGGCAGATCTCCCCGCGAAAGTCGGGCTTCGCGATCTTGCACGCCAGCCTCCAGATTTCAGCGCAAGAAACCCCAGGCCAACCCACCCGCCTGAGGTTCTTAGAACTTCTCAAGAGTTATTCGCTTATTCGAAGGGTAAGAACGGGACCCTTGTTTCTTCCGTACCCATGGCGCCATCACAGCCCGGACAAATTGCGGTATTTCCCCACGGAATTGAGAAAGTTGGGTCGTCTTGACTGGTTTTTGTGGGTACTCTGTGTGGGCCCCGCATGGTCTCCTCAAATCCAACAACAAACTACCAGAAAAGAATTGTCCGCTGCTCACATGGCCCATGGCCCCCATGGCCTGGCGGGCCTTTTGGGCCCTGTAAATGGGTCTGATTTCCATTGGGTGGGGCCCTCTAAAAGGACACCGGGCGTTGAGTAGGGCGTCTGGATTCTAAAATATGATCCTTCCGCTTTTGGTTCCGCTTTGGGTAAATTACACCCAGCATACGCACCTCTGAGACATAGGCGTGTATGTGTCACAATAGGAGTACCCCCCAAAAGTGGAATTTAGTTGTTATCTTGGTAAAAAGAAAAGTAAGGGTACCAGCCCCCCTGAAAAGAACTCCAAAAGGGGTGCCAAGATCCTGACTGGTCTTTGGCTCATGGGACTGAAGATCTTGTGTTGTCTACTGCGAGCCCAGATCGGTGAGGAATCTTCGAAGCCTCAAGAGTGCTCTCTTGCTGTGCGGTGCCTCTTTCGGGGTCCATTGAAGTGACATCCTGAAAACTTGCCCTGTTTGCTGATTTACAGTGATTTCGAGCACCCCGCAAAATTGCGAGCCCCCTGTTGGGTGCCCTGCCTTGAGCCCTCCTGAGCCAGACCCCGTCCGAGGGCTGAGCAAAACCCATTGGAGCCGGGCAACGACTCGCAGCTGGTGATCAGGCCGAAATGCTCCTGCTTCCCAAAGTTTAGGGCGTCCCGCAGAGTGAAGTAAAAGGCCTGCACGGTACCGCACGGCACTGCACGGCGCACTCCAATCGTACGCTCGATCCCTCCCTCTCTCCGGCATCTACCCTAGTCTGCCCTAGTCCCGGCACTCTTGGCTGAATCAGTCGTGGCTGCCGCATGTCCATGGAGGGAACTTGCAGCAACCTGGAAGCCGCTGCCGAGCCACATGGTCTGGCCCTGGCAGTGAGCCGGGCACATCGAGGTTCCACTGCAGGAAGCCGTTCTGGGCACGAGAAACAAACGACATTCCCAAAGTGAGGCATAGCGCCATGAGAAGTCCGACAGAATGGCAGCATGCAACATCTTCTGCTTCCAGTGCCTACTCTCTGTGGGCCTTGGGGCAAAATTGAAATTTCCCCAAGTTGCCAGGCACCGCTGCACCACGCTTGCCTTCCGAGATTCGTAAAAAGTCTTGAAGGTGTCCAACGACGAAAACCTGAGCAATTGGAGGAAGACAAATGACAGGCTGCCTGGGAGTGCGAGACCCGCACCGGACTGAGCTTCACATTTGAACAGAAGCCATGCGTGTGGCCTCCCTTTCATCAGAATCTTGCAAATCAAACGGCTCAGGACTCTTGCCATTCGCTCGTTCACTCGTAGCTTTCGATCCAAGCTGTGCCAAGGTGCTGCTCGCATTCAGCCATGGCCTCAGCTCTTAAAGACCATGGCAAAGAAAGAGAGAGAGAGAGAGAGAAGGAACAAATAATGCAGGATTTGGCAAAACGTGCTTCACCAACCAGACCCTGGCCACCTTACATGAAGCAGAACCAAAAGGAGAATGTTTCGCCCAAAGTTGTTTAAACATGTCAACGTCTAAACAGAGGTTGGTGCAATGTTCAAGGCGTGCCAAACTGCGGCTGTCCTAGCTCAAGGAAACTGCGCTTCGGTATGCAGGCATTGACTATTGTCAGGCGTTCGAGAGTTGGACATTTCTTTTCGGCTCAACACTGGCTCGCCCTTACAAACAGCTCTGTACAGTAAGACACCTGCCGATGTACAGAACAGTCACAGCTCAGTGTCCAAACAATATTATCACAACGCCCAAGCAGCAAACCAAAACAACAAGTACAGAAGCAACTACCCCTTGAGCCCCACCCACCACACCACACAAAACCACACCACACCACTCCACACCACACCACACCACACCACACCGCACCGCACGCGAGCACGCATGCACATGAGCCACTCTTGGTCGAGTGGCCGTTCCCAGAGCAGATGCCTTAGGCGAAGACCAGCCAATCTCGCCGATCCAAAACCTGGGAGGCAGAATCGAACAGCAAACAGGTGAGGAAGAACACAGTGGTGCCCGAACTCCCAGTGCATGCCAGTTCTACACCTTCAAAACCTTTTTGCGCGACGCGGATGTTTGCATAGGTATGTACATATACGTGTGTGTGTATATATATATGTATGCATCTATCTGCATTCAGGTGTAAATTTACTACTGATACTTCTGGATATGCATGCAATTGATCTGTGCGTGTGTGTGTGTGTGTGTGTTTGCACATATAGCTACACATATACGTATACCTATACCTATATATAAATATATAACATATATACATACTCACATTCCATACAACTGCGTGTCCTGAGCCCTCAGACAAGTCTGTGCTCGATCTCCAGGTGTGCGAATATGACGTGTTGACTCTGGACAACGGCAACGCGGTTTTGAACGGCAGACTTATCGTCTCGTCACAATCCAGTCGACCAACGCGGCCTGTCGAGCACGTATTCGAATCTATTTGTGTCAGTCCGTGGATCAGGTGTTCAAGCCAGTTTTGCTTCACCCTGCTCTGTTCCTGCGCATCTGAACTGTTCGTTTCCCACTAAACCGTCTTCCTGCAAAGTTCAAAGTCCAGAAACTTGGGAAGTGAGGGCCGCATCTGCCCCTTGTCTAAGAACAAACCAAAATGCAGGAAGTTGGCCCAGAGCCAACTTTGGGCCATGGCTGTTCAAGCAAAGCTCCATCCTTGCGCTCCCATCCTGGGGCTTCGGCAGATCATCCAGGCGCCCGGTCATCCGACTGATCTGCCGCCGCGCAGCGGCCTGAGCGCACTTCACTCTGCTCTGGGCATGTGACTATGTGACTATTGTGTCAAAACATAGGGCCCCAACATGGTATCTCCCTCAAAACGAACCTGAACAAGGTACACCAAAACACACACGCACACACACACACACACTTACACTTACACTTACACTTACACTTACACTTACACTTACACTTACACTTATACTTACACTTACACTTACACTTACACTTACACTTACACTTACACTTACACTTACACACACACACACACTCACACTCACACACACACTTACACTTACACTTACACTTACACTTACACTTACACTTACACTTACACTTACACTTACACTTACACTTACACTTACACTTACACTTACACTTACACTTACACTTACACTTACACTTACACTTACACTTACACTTACACTTACGCACACACACACTCACACTCACACTCACACTCACACACACACACACCCACACACGCGCGCGCGCACACACACACACATACACACCACGTGGTGTTCTCCACATGCCAGTTGCTGGCATGCAACCGGCTTCCCTCGCCGTGGACAAAGTTGAGTGCCGGACCATGATGTTCGGCCCCAAGCAGGTGGACCCCTCCCAGCAGATCACCCGGGGCAGGTCTAAGCTGCACTGGTCCTGGCAAGCGCCAAAAGACGTGAGCAGCGCACAACCATTGACCTCTAACTCTACGGCTATAGAGGGTTTTACAGCCCTTTCAGATACCAAGCAAGAACACATACTAAAATTGCTGAGTGGTTTTGCATCCTGCTCACAGGCCGGAAAAGAAGCAAATGCATCCAGCCAACCATTTTTTCAAGCTGGACAGAGCCCCTCGTGCCAGGCCACATCAACCAAATGCATCTAAATCATCTGAGGATACGTCTTCCAAAGTAGCAGGGAAAGTGGGTAGAAACAAAACTCTTCACCAAAGATGGCCAATTGTATGGTTTTGACTGTCTGATACCTTGCTGATTTGGATGCCAGAGAGGCTCCGAGAAGACAATGCTGTGAAACCGGCCACACCCAGCCGGTCCGTTGAGCCAGGGTTCAGGTGAACACCAGGATCAAAATAAGGATAGACCTCGCATGCGCCGTGCTGCAATGAGGCACCGAAAGTGCTGCAGTGTATCTTCCGATGCCTCCATGCCTCTTCACGTAGCCGTGCAAACTTCACGGATTATAGCGCTTTCCAAGCAAAGATGTGCTTGCCTGGAATTGTCCGCAAACTTCCGAGCAAAGAATGTGCCAAGTGGCATTGAATGTAAAGGCGTATCTCCTTCCATACCTCAGCTCGCTGCTTCAGCGCTCAAACCATCCAACGGTGTCTGAGCGGACAGAGGAATTGTTTCCTCGCGCCTTCCCCGATGCTCAAACCCAACGACGTACACGTCCTATGCGGCACATCTTGTGGTTCTGACACTAAGTTGAACAGAGGGCACTGCAAACTCAGCCTCCGAGGAAGGGTATGACAATTCGGCGGCTTGCCCACTTTCAATCAAAGGCACTTTTGATAGGCGTTTTTCAGGAAGGTGTTGATCAGACCCTGATCCGCCTTCTCCATGAAAGGCGTCCGCGTGCTGTCTGCAGGGAGTGGAAACGACGGGAAGCTCTGGGGAAACGGAACATGTTCCAAACGGAATATGTTCCGTCAGCTCGTCGGCTTAATGTCTCCCCGGATTGCTCAACCTGCTGGATTGGTACACCGCATATTCATCAACCAGAAGCTTATTCACCCTGGGTTCCCAGTAAGTGTTGCTTTTCTGTCCACCATGTTTCACTGTGATGAACGCCATTGCTCTGCATTCATGGCTGACCGCTCGGGCTGAGCCTTTGACAACCAACCACGATGGGTACCTTCTTATGCATTGGCATTCTGTATTGAAATGAAAGAAAGCTGGGAACAACTTCACTTGCACCGGAGTCATTCCAACGAATGTAGTCACCCTCAATGTGCAACAAGCTCCCCGTCCTGTGAGCACGCTTGCAGTGAAGACTGAGGTCACCTTAGTCTCCAACCCTGTGGCGCATGGCACCAGGCATGTGCCGGCTGAGTTCTGTCTCTCTAGAGCACAACTGTCGACTCTCGTACTTATCCTGGATTCCATTTCTTGACTACCCCCAGGCTCATTCAAACCCAGGTCCCTTTGACAAGCATAAACCATCCCTGTATCCGATTCTCCCATCTGAGGCCTCATGCTCCAACTGCAAGCTCAGCAGAAGTTGCAGCCGGGGCGCTGGGACGTTTCTGAAACCTCGAAGCAGAGACAAGCGGGAACAGAGACAAACAGCAGTGACTGAAAAGATTGCCTTCCGGCAAAAGTGTTTGTTGCTTCAAGGAGTTCCGGCTGCCTTCATGACAGCTCAAAACTTTACTCCGTGATTTCAAGCACCGGCTTGGTTTATGCGGGCAAAGCTTAAAACCTTGAAGAGCTCGTCAACAACCTATGTCAGGTGGTTTCCACTTTCCCCCAAACTGAAGCTACCCCCAGCTTCATATAGAGGCTTTGCACGGGGGCCTGTACCTTAATTCTGCTTGGGGGTAGTGAATTGCCCCGTTTGTCTGGCGCGCAAAGCCAGAAACAAAGGGATGGTCATAGGCAACCTCTCTGTGGATAACCCCGGGCTCCAAGTAGACAGTCGACCGCGCAGCCCCGGAATGGACCCATGTTGGCCTCTTCATACGGAAGTGGAGGTGTCAACAGACTTGGTGCCAAAAAGTTGCTGCGGTGGGCCAAGCTAGGATGCAAGCCAAGCGACCAAGCTTGTCCTTAGGAAGACAGGAGCAACTCAAAATCTTCACCTCCCACAATGACAGTTCTAAATCGAAGACCAGCTCTCGCAGACGTCAAGTGGCGAACTCCGCTACCCGCCGCTGGAAGACAGACCATAGCCTTCCGCCAGTCCACATCTCCGAGATGCAGCCGCTGTCCGCCTGTCACCAAACACATCTGTAGCGAGTTTTTTTCTGGGAAATTCACTCGTGAATTCCCCATGTCCGGGCCATGGGCTGGATATGTCCAGCGAACCCGGTGTGATGGTTTGAAAGCTCGCCAGGGCGCGTGGGTGTAGAGCAGCTCCAACTCGTTGCCCACCGCCAGGCCCATGACGTGCTCGGGGCCCACCATCTGCAGAAACTCCTTAGTCCAACCTCAGCGCCCAGATCGACACCCGCAAAAGGCAGAGCCCTCAAGACTACTTGCTTCCCCCAAACGACATGGAAAAAATGGGGAAGATAGTGAGCCCCTGTTTCTTTTGTGGAGAAACCTAGTGACCTAGTGAGCCCTCCATGTCCGTTGTAAATGGACGATAGCCTACTGCAAATATTCACCAACCGCACGTGCCACCTCCTTTGCTGAAAACAAGGCATGAAAAGCGTTACCCCCACTTCAAGGCTTCAACTCTAAGTGTGCCATGCCCCTGATGAAATGTTGCTTCGCCTGCTTCACCTTGCTCGCCCTTCTGCCTTTACAGCCCGTTGAGTCGCCCCAGCCATTTTTGGCCCACTTTTTCCGCTTAGCAACTCCAAGTGATCTCGTCCTCGCCTTCCACGCACGTCACTGGGGTGCCCACAAGCACCTTCAAACCTCGGGAAGAGGCTTCAGAACAGCTCTGTAAAAGACTTTGCAGCAACTACAAGTATGCCAGAAGCCTTCAGGAACAACCAGCGCTCCAGCTAGGGTGCGCGCGGTTGGCTTTCCTTGGGCCGATCGTTCAGGAGACGTCTGAGGCTGGCTTCTCTCATGACAAGAGGGTCGCCTCTATGCCCAAGATTTGCTTACAGCATGATGAAAGTCTACGATTCAGAAAAGCCTTGGTTGATTCAACATCTGCCAGCAGCAGCAAGTGGGCCAGTCAAAACCAAACTGACTGCGTGGATGAATATCAAGATTGCTTTGACGCCGAGCTGCACAAAGTCCACAAGGCCCTTCCAGGAAGTGTGCCGACCTGCAGGGCCGAGTAAGATTTGCATGCCCGGAACGAGCCATATCCAAAACCAATCCCGACGCCGCCCGCCTTTGCTTGGCCACTGCGAGTTCCAGGTTTGAAAGATCCGCAGGCTTCCCATGGGCGCTGCCTTCGACTCGGACGATAGGGGCGACTGGGTCTCATATTTCGGCAACCCGTTCAAGCATAGTTAGTTCAGGGTAGCAACCCCTGGCTCGAAGTGCTGAAGGGGTCCCCCAAAAGCAGAGTCCTCTACAAAAGTAAGATATCCCAAAAACAGGATGGTAAAGGTTGTGCATGGCTGGGAAGCTGGCAATGCAAATGACTTCATTTGTATATTGCTTTGTGGCTGACTTTGGATTCTCTTATCTGAGGAATCTCCCAGCATGAGCCAATTGCAGTTTCAAAGGGCAAACAGCCCTGATTTGTATGGTTCTGCAGAGGAATCCGAAGTTGACACTTAGTCGAAGTCAAAACCGAAACTCTAGGGCTCCAATGTGTCTACGGAGCAAGGCTGCAAAGCATTGCCTTGTCAGCCATGTTCAACTGCAGCTGAAGGCAGGGAGGCCATTGCGCTGTCTCGAGTTTCATTTGGTGGAAACGTGCTTTGCACATCCTGCGCCCGCTTTGGTCCAAGCAAGCCAAGCCGGCCTTCAGGTTTGGCCAGGTCTCGGGAATCCGGGAGCTGCACCTGAGAAAAGGGCAATAAACCATGCGAAAATTGGAGCCCGCAACCCTGTGTAAGTTCCTTGTCAGTGACTGTGCGAAATCACCCCAACATGTGGGTGTGTCAAAGTAAGGGCCTAGAACACAAGGTGGTTTTGTTTATCCCATTCAAACCCTACAAAAAGGACACATGTCAGCGGGCCTTGCTGGCATTCAATCGTTCAAGAGATTGCTATTTCGGACGGGCGCACAGCCTCCAGCAAGGTTCAGCGTGTCGCTCCCAAGCAGATCTCTGCTGCGTTGGGCCCCGAGCTTCGCTTGCTCCACCCTTGTCCCCGTACGTACAAAGTACTCAGTGCGCGGGTAGCATCCACTGCACCACATTGAATTCCAAACGGCCCGTCTGGAGGATCACCTCCAGACGGGCCAGGTCTCCTCCGTGCTACAGCGACCTTCCCCCCACTCCTGCGAGCTGCTCAAGACCTATATGTGTCGCTGCAAAAACCGCACAAAAGCGGCCATGGCAACGGGGCACAGGTGTTCCGTTACAATACTGTAGGGTAGACTAGCCCTTGCAAGGGAGTCCCACTATGCCAACCACGTCCGTCAACCATGATAGGCAACCAACGGACCAATCTTCACAATCGACACCATTCATGATCCTTCATTATCATCCTGACTGTGACATCGGTGGCTTGATCATGTGTCTCATTCCTGGTGTCAGTGTGGCAGCTTCCCTCCTGAAGCCCTGAAGGTATTGATGCACCTCTACGTATAGATTCTGCGGGGTGCAATTGCTAGAAGCCCAGAAGCAAACACATGTCACCAACATCGTACCAGTGCAAGATCCAACGATTGGTTCAAACATACCAAGGTTCAACATCATCACAATTGAATTGCAGGACCACACAAATTGTTGCATCAATTGTCAAGCAAAATTGCATTTGCCACCATTCCCCTTGACCACCTTACAAAATCCATATGCATGGCCCTCTGCCATGGACACCCCAAAGATGACCAGTCCCATCCTCCCATCACTGCCACTACAGGCGAGAGATATGCCCGCATGTACATGCTTGCCATTGGCCGCCCCTGTCGCGATCTCTCGATGCTGAGTCCGATGGGGTGCGCCAACAATCTGCGATTTGAAAGAAAGCCCAAAGGTCTGGAACAAGCATGAGTCTGATTGAACACTGCTTGCAACAGAGTCACCACTGCAGCGTGGTGTCATCAATCCTAAGCACGAGCACACAAGCAGGCAGGTGCAGGGACTTCCAGCAAGAACAGAAGCAAATCATTGAGCTTGTCAGAACTTGGTCCCAGCCAGGCTTTGAAGTACGATGGTGAGAAGCTCAAGGCCCTTCGCACCCTGGCACTAAAGCCTATCAACAGCATGTTCAACCTCATAGCTTCCAGGCTTTGCCTCTCGCATCCGAGGTTCGTGACACCCTTCTTGTCCATCCTCTGCGGAGTGAGGCGTCGGGAGGTCGCATCACAGCAGCTAAGATACTGGCCATTCATCGCCGGGCCTCACACGTAAGGCTGGCAGAGTCCAGCCCAATCCCCGAATTCGCTGAATCCCATCTGGGCAACTGGTTCTACTTCGCAAAAAAAAAAAAGGAATGACCAGGCGGGGGACCTTCATCATGCGTGAGCCAGCATGCATTCCCAACCGCGCAAGGAATAGTTGGTGCCTTGCACTTCAGTGACAAGCAAGTGACAACAATGAACTCTCGGCTGTAGTGGCTGGGGAGTATAGTAATGCCTTTGTTAACCTTTTTGTTGCTAGAACCAAGAGTCAATGGAATTAGGGCGCCTCTCAAAAGAGGTCCATTCGCACCTTTGCCTGGTTTTACAGGGGGGTTTCCACGAAGGGTCATTTTCTGGTCAACCCCCCCCCCCCCCCCCGTGTGCCGGCTTATCGGGGAATGGACCGCCATTCCTTGTTTCTTTGTTGGTGGGAGGTACCCTTGATGATTGGCGCCTTCAATGAAGCCAAAAGCAGCAGGAAACCCAACGATATGATGGCACTGAATTTGAAACACACTCGAAATGGCCGGTCTCTGAATAAGACAAGGCAAGCCGCCATACTGTCCACGGCAGAACCGGCTGGGGTGGAGGTCTTGCAAGTCCCAGGAAGCCAAAATTGTCAACAGAAATCGGTTTTAGGCGCCGGCTTACCCCAAAAGACATGGGAAATTGAATCATACACAAAGTTGGATACTTTGACCGGACCTCATCTAATTTGTAGAACCCTACGAGTATGGCTACGCAGATTGATGAAGCCCCGAAACTCAGCCCAACGGCCAATTAAGTGCAGCAGGTGAAAAACTGCGTGGTTTCAGAGGGGTCATGGTGAAGGGCTTATGGACTTTGACTCGAGGCGCAGCAGTTCCCCGTGGCCAGGCCAATCTCCACGCACTTGGCATGGTCCGTGCAGAACGCGGAGGGCGCGTTCGGCAGAGACGGGGAGGGACTCCCCAGCTCCACGTCCTGCGGAGAAAAAAACGCCAGTAACTGTTGCGGATCCTCTGGTTCCTTCAATCATGGGTATGGTCCTCTATTTTTAATTTCTGGGTTTTGGGGTAGACTCCTTGACCAGGTTTGACCCCTGTAGGATTAGGATTCTCCTCTGGCTGCCCTTTCAACCAAGCGAAAATAGAGGCCGCCAGGCGGCTGCCAACTGCAAACAGTATGCAGACTTACCACGCAAGGTTCACCTCGAGTCCTGGGCAACGCGGCTGCATCGAGTAATTGACAGCGAGCCTCTACGCCTGGCTGGTCTGGGGTCGCTTCTGCTGCAGGCAGTCCTTGGGACTGTGTGCTCGCCTGGTCACATCTTCAGCATGCTGAGGCGAGCGGAAACACCAAAAAAAAGAATCGCGAAGGTTCTAGGATTCGCCTTCCCGGTCCTTCCTCCCGCGCCTTCCCAGTCCTTGCTCTTGCGCCTTCCAGGTTCCCGCAGTCCTTCCTCTCACGCCTTGGCCTTCTACTTTTGATGAAAAACCTGTTCCAAGACGAAGTGAGGTTTTTCGGGAGCTAAGCGGCTGGGCGCGGCCTGCTTCCGGTCCTTCCTCATGCGCCTTCCTGGTCCTTGCCTCCTGCGCCCTCCCTGTCCTCCATGTCCTCCCTCCCACTCCTTCCCGCTTCTCGCTCCCATTGCGCCTGCCGGGCCTCGCTCGCACGCCTTCCCAGTTCTCGCTCCCGCGCCTTCCAGGTCCTGTCTCCTCTCGTGCCTTCCCGATCATTGCTCGCGCGTGTTCCCGGTCCTCGCTTCTGCGTTTCACAGGTCCTTTGCCCCTCCCTACAATTCCTCGCGCTGTTCAACGAATCGGCGCGTCGGCGGGTACAAGCGATGAGCACCCGCCGGCAAGAGCGATGCCGTTCTGGTGGGTGCAAGCGATGAGAAAACGACCGTCACAAGTGATTGTGCTACCCTTTTGGCCCATATACCAACCCCTAAAATAGAGACCCGAAAAGTACATCAGTCTTGGAAATTCAAACAAGAAGACCCCCAACCCCAAACCACCAAAACCCTGCACCCAAGAAAAGCGGAAAATCGGGTCCGTCTGGCAGGCGAAGAGCTCCTCCTTGCCCAGCTCCGGGCAAGAGGCCGCCCCGAGGCTCACCAGCCTCGAGCCCGCGGGAGTGTCAAACGATTTTCGGAATGAACCTGGGGGATTTGCTGGGAAACCACGGTCGGCTTGGGTCATTCCTTCATAGAACTAGCAAGAAAGTGGGGCTTGGGGAGATTTGCCTGATCAAATGGGTGTGCTCTTTGGAGTTGGTACCTGTATTTTTGTGGCTGGTTTGAAGGGAAGCCACAAAGAAGAAGGGGCTCCCCCTTTTTGGACACATACACCCACATACTCAAAACTAGACGACGAGTGGCCCGGAAGCAAAGCAACACGTTAAATCAACTCTGACGCCTCCCCACCTCATGAGAAACAAAGACGTCAATGTCCCTGCTCAAGCCTAGCCTCTGCCAGTTCTGGTGAGCAAGCTCAGCATCATGCTTCGCAATTTCTCGCGTCAGCTTCTGTTGCGCGATGTTGTGGGTTGATGCTGTGTGCAAAGCTGTGCGTGGTGCCGTGCGTGATGATGATGGAGCGCGCTTCGTGTACTACTTTTGTACTTAAAAATTGCGATTTTGCAGTCAGAGCTCTGGAGCGCTCTTCGCGTACTACTTTCGCACTTTAAACTTGCAAGCTTTCAGCCAGAGCTGCGGGAATGTACTTCGCGTACTACTTTTGTACTTAGAAGTTGCGAATTTCGAGCTGGAGCTGCAGGAGCGCGCTTCGCGTACTACTTTTTACGTAGATGGAGCGAGTGTGCAGCAGGAGCTGCAGGAGTGCACTTCGCATACTACTTTTGTACGAACAAATTGCGAACTTCGAGCTGGAGATACGTAAAAATTGCGATTTTGCAGTCAGAGCTCTGGGGGTGCTCTTCGCGTACTGCTCTTGCACTTTAAACTTGCAAGCTTTCAGCCAGAGCTGCGGGAATGTACTTCGCGTACTACTTTTGTACTTAGAAGTTGCAATTTTCGAGCCGGCGCTGCAGGAGTGCGCTTCGCGTACTACTTTTGTACGTAAAAGGTGCGATTGTGCAGCGAGAGCTGCGGGAGTGCGCTTCGCATACTACTTTTGTACTGAAAAATTACGATTTTGCAGCCAAAACTGCGGGAATGTCTTCGCACAGTACTTTTGTACGCAACACATGCTATTCGTGAGCCAGAGCCACGGGAATGTACTTCGCTCACTACTGTTGTGCTAAAAAATTACGATTTTCAATCCTGAGCTGCAATGCTCTTCGCGTGCTGCTTGTGTATACTTGAAGCGTGGTACTTTTGTACCCCAAAGTTTCCTTCCAGCCAGAGCTGCGGGAGCACAGTTTCCGTACCATACTTTGGTACTTGAGAATTGTTATTCTTGAGCCGGAGCTGGCGCAGACCAGGGGGGAATCGAACCCGCGACGCCGCGATTGCGAAAGCAGGCGCGCAAACCACGAGACAACTTTCAAAGACCATCGACACGCACGATCTCCGCGGAGAGTTCGCCGAGTTCAAGACAAATTCGCACGGCGCCATAGCGAGAGCGCTTCCACACGCAGGATCTGCGCAGAGGGTTCGCCGAGACCAAGACAAACTCGCACGGCGCCACAGCGACAGCGCTTCGACGCGCACGATCTCCGCAGAGAGCTCGCCGCGCTCAAGGCAAATTCGCACGGCGCTGCAGCGAGAGCGTTTTGACACGCACGATCTTCGCAGAGGGATTGCCGAGCTTAGGACACATTCGCACGGCACAGCGAGAGCGCTTGGACACGCAGGATCTCCGCAGAGGGTTGACCGCGCTCAAGACACATTCGCACGACGCTTCGACACGCACGATCTGCGCAGAGAGTTCGCCGAAACCAAGACACATTCGCACGGCGCCACAGCGAGAGCGCTTCGACCGCAGAGGGGTGCGTTTCGTAAGCTCCCGTCGCGCCTACCCCCGCCAGAAAACGAAGAAGAATTAAGAGTCGAGAAGTGAAGGCACAAAAGAAAAGTTAGCACGTATTTTTAGGATAGTGAAGTAACACCCAAAAAGTTAGCTTGTGATTTTAGGATAATAAGATAACACCCGCAGGCGAAGTAACCATCGAACATTTGGCATGAGAAGTTGGCAGGTGACATAACTCTCGAAAAGTTGGTAGGCGAAGTTGGCAGGTGAAGGTGGCATGAGAAGTTAGCAGGTGATATAACTCTCAAAGAGTTGGCATGAGAAGTTGGCAGGTGAAGTAACTCTCGAAAAGTGGGCATGATAAGTTGGTAGGTGAAGTAACTCTCAACAAGTTGGCATGAGAAGTTGGCAGGTGAAGTTTGCAGCCGCTTTTAGAAGAAGAACCCTTCGCAATGCTTCCGGGAAAAAAACAAACGCGGCAAAGAAGACTGGACTAAAAGAGTCCCCTTGTTCGAAGGGGACTCCTAAAGGGGGCAGGAAATTAGGAGTGGCGATTGGTTAGAAGCTGGCCGGGAAAACTTAAAGCCGGAAGGCTAGAGTCTAGAGGAACGTAACTCAGCTATGTGCAGTTTCGTCCGCAAGACCGTCCAAAGGTCCAACTGATGTTGCTGCATTGGCTTCCTTGAATGCAAATATAGATTCGGCCAGGAATATCCTGATAATGGAACGAACAGTGTGTTGGTTGGCAAAGCAAATGCACCCAAGCAGCTTGAGTGTAAATCCAGCACCTCTTGCTTGAAAATGTAAGCAGCAAATAAGCAGCGACAAAATACCCCTTCTACTCACCTGAGTATGCATCTTAAATCAGGGCGCTTTTGTGAGCATCATTTGCAGGGGGGAGTTGAGTCCGACCACGTTCCAACCATCGAAATTCATCGCGTGTTCTGCAAACCCGCCAAGCCCTGCCAAGCAGCCAGGGCCACGCTCGAGCCAGTCGCGCCATGCAAGGCTAAAGTAGACAAGGGGCGCTGAGTTGCCGCTCGGGCGGTGCATTGCCACCGTTTCGGGGATAGGTTGGCTTGCATTGAGGATACCTCGAGGGGACCAAAGACATTCTCCAATCGGTTTGTCCAAGAAGGACCATAGGGCCGTCAGGAACAAAACAGAACCAAAAAGCTGAAGAGTTCGTACTCTTTAGATGATTCACAAGCAAAGCAAGCTGGCTTGTTGCCATGGTTGCAGGAAAATATCTTGCACGTGCATTGTAAATCAAAACGGCTGCGGAGCGTTGCCAAGCTGTGCAATCCAAACATCTCTAACCAAGATAGGAGTCCCAGCAAAATCCTTACCTCGTCAATACATTTGGCCTTTCCAACAATCGAAGCTGACAGGAGGGTTTCGGAAGACTACAGTCCTCCTGAAAAGGCTTCCTGACCACTTCCCTTGTACTGATCCCTCGACGATTCCGCAGCAGCAATACACAAATCGTCCCGGCATCACAAGCACCGCAATAGCCCTCTCGAGTGCTGCAAATCCGCAGGTAAGCGCGCTGCCGATCTGATCAATCACAGGCAGCCATAAGACACGGCCAAAACCAAGGCCATACAAGGCCTGAACATGCAGTCTGGCTAATGCATCTCTGTCACATATCTGGTTTCATAGCCAAATATGTGATTCAAAATGCCAGGCGAGGCCCAGAAGGTGTGGAACGTCAGTGTGTGTGTGTGTGTGTGTTTGTGATCTACGTTGCATGTCACATATCATGCCAAAGCGCTTCAAGCTTGAGAAGCATGTTCTTGCTTTGAGTCACATATCCTGATGGATGCTACCAAGCAGGATACTTGACTTCCACCCGTGCATGGGCGAAGGATGTCAAAGGTGAGCAATATCATGTTGCCTTTCCATGTTCTTTTGTCATCTCTGTTGGATGGTGACTGATTTTGAGCCATGTCGAGCCGTGTTGTGCATGCACTGTTGAATTGTGCAATGCCGGCCTCATCATCACCCCAAACCTCCCTGTAGATTGCACAAGCCCTGCTTGATGTGCACGAAAGCATGCACAAAGGGCACTGATCACTCGAGCTGGCCACCAACTCTTCTTGGACATGATCTAGTCATGCTGCGTAACGTATCCACAATCGCACTGTAGGGGGTTCGGATAGCATCGGTGCCCCATTCGATGCACCTTCCAACAAAAGGCACCTTAGTTTGCAATTGCGGCACCACACCAAACTGAACCAAGCGATGTTGGGCAGTCTTGTTCCTTGGCCGCTTCTTCTGCCTGTAGAGAGCTCTCGTGTGTGGCAGTCATGCAAGAGTCGGGAAGTGCCTCATGTTGCATGGTACCCTCCCTCCACCTCTTATGACACTTGAAAAGGGTCCAGTCCCTTCAATGTACCTTCCCACAGGTGCTTCTGTTCGTGTGAGGAGGGATGATGTGTGATTTGTGGCTTCCCCATTCCCCCCTGCCCTACCCAACTTTCCCTGATTTCATCCAAGTATGACCTTAGGGAGAAAAGGAAACTGAAGGGCTACCCGCAGGACCCCTGCCCCCCCAAAAGAAACAACACTCCAAATAAGCAACTACGTCTCAAGATAGGGAATTGGACCAAAATGTGTTGGTGCTTTTTCTTTCGGTTCCCTTCAAACCAAAACAGGATACCAACTCCAAGCACCCCCCGACCGCCTGCTGCGCCAGGGCCGCCTCTTCCGCGCCATGCTGCAGCTCCTCAAGGTGAGGTGTGCTCACCCTCAACACCGCCGGACATGACGATTCTTGGAACCAAAACGAGCTACCCCAAGCGGGAACGAAGCCGGCAATGCAGTGATGCCCAAAACGAAAGCCAGGTGTGGAGGACGTACTGTAGGCGAAGATGACTGCACACTAGCAACTATGAGGCGTAACTTGCAATGGATACATGCGGCTGAATCCTTGACCACCTAGCGTGGTGAAAACGTCCAAACGAGAACATGCCCAACAAATTTGTCATCGGTAAAAATATGGGCGAATGTGAGCAAATGAAGCCGGTTGGATATTCGCGTTTCTGGGTGTCCATGATGCCGATATGGATGCAGGGAGCAACTATGCGTGAGTCTGGCTGAACGCTCCCGAATGAGGATGAAGCAGCAGACCATGGGGGAATATGGGCGAATGAGGCATGCTACGTGATCTGGGTGAAACACAGAATATGGGCGACGTACGCAGGCGGTGCCACGATCGCCAGCAAAGGAAAAACCAGCAGCCGACGCTGGGAATCTCTCACCATGTCCGATCACTCCCCATGCCACAGTTTGGAAAAGATTCTACACAACAAATTCGATCCAAGCCAGTTCAGCAAGACCTTTCTTCACAATGACATTCGAACAATGTGGTCCTCTGCTATTTCAAGCAAAACCGTCGGCAACAAGAAGTTGTGTGACCGCAGATCATGGACAAACTGGGGAAATGCCAAGCCTTCAGACCAGATCTACCATCTAGATATACATATATATATATATTATATATATATATATATATATATAAACTCCAGCTTTGATCTACGTCAAGGGAGTGTCTGGGGGCAGGTGCATTTGGGGGGTGCCAGGAGGTGTGACAACTGAACCATGGCCCGCTCCCGCCAGTTGCGCACCAGCAGGCATTCAGCCTGGCGGTGACTGGGTCAAGCCAAGGCTCAAACCAAAACTCACTCGATTGGGAACATGCCAAGCCGGGTTCCTGAAAGGATGCATTTGGGCCAGAAGTAAGTCACGCCCAATACCACCTGATTTGGATGATCCCTCAAGTGGTTTGGGACGTATCCTTTCAGGAACCCTGTCAAACCTAGGAGCTCAGCACCGATGCTATGTTGGCGACACTTGAATTTCGAGGCCCAAACTGATCGCAGTTCAGTTCAAGTTCCTTCTGTCCGGCAGCTCACTTGAAAGTGGGGGCGATTTGATCCTTACTGATCGGCAAATCGCCGGCGTTGCCATGCAGCAGTCGAAGTACGCCCAGCTTCGGCTCTTCAGCTGATACAGCTTCTCCTTTCGCCTTACCCAACACACCATGGCCCATGAAACACCCACCAAAGCTCTGCACAAATCGCCCAGCAGTGGCAAAAAGCTTCCTACCTGTTTTCGCAGGTGGCTGTGGGTTGCACCTCAGCGCTCGGGCTCTGGAAAATCCTCCGCACGCGGGTGGCTTCCTTTTCCAAACTAATCAAGACGGGGCTCAGAACTGGTTGGGCCAGCCCCATGTTTAAACACGGTTGAACACTTCGTGCTTAAGCAATGTACTTTCGGCTTCCCCTTCAAGTTGGCCATGGTCTGGTAGGACAACAAATTTTGACCCCTGCCCCCTGCAAAGCCCCCAATTCGCTCCAGGGCACGTTGCCACAGCCTCCAGCGCCTCCACCAGCTGACCCTCACGCACCTGCAGCTCCTCCCAGGCTTGGAATCGGAGGCAGGGATGTGCACATGAGCAGATCCCTCCCCAAAGAGCTTCATTTTTCACTCATCCTACTAAAAGGTGATTCTTCGTGGCAAGGAAGGCAAATGATTGGCCCTCTCTGACAGCCAATGTGTCTGAAAATGGTTAACCCCGTGTTAGACGGCTTTGAAAGGGAGATCAAACAAAACCCAACTTTCACACCAACCGAATCGAGTCAGAATCACGACCTGATATTAAACTGGTCTACCCAAAAACCCGTGCAGAGAGTCTAAGGCCCGATATCCGCACCCCAACCTCAGTCTCGTTTTGATTTTGGGTGCGATCCTTGGGCATCAAGGCCATGAGCTCCGAGGTGCTCATGGCCTTTGCGGCCAGCACCTCGCGCTGGCGCTGGTGGCTTCGAACAGAACCCGCCAAGGTCAAACCAACTTTTGGACGGTGTGGATTTTTGATCAAAATCCAACCAGAGAAGCCAAATGTTGTTGTGTTTTTTGTTGGTTCCCCTCGCAAACTGGTTGCGGGGGGCGCCAGAAACATGAGCCACGTTCTGGCGGGGGGTAACCGGATCATGAACAATGAAACGATTCTATATAGTTCTGCTGCTTCTTTTTGGGGGGGGGGCAGCTCTGTGGAACCGCTCCGGGTGGTTCAAAATCCAATCTGCTCGCCCGATCAAGCCGTCCTTCCGAAATCGGCTTCATGCTTGCCCAGCCTGGATGAGGAAACGCTGCAGGATCACGGGGCATCGCAGATACCTCACAAGGCACCAGGAGTGGCCGCCAGAAGTCGGAGTTCAGGAGGTGACATGAGTCATAATCGAAACCTGGTTGACCCAGGTTTGTGGTTGGAGCCTACTGACCTGCACTTACCTGGTTTGGATGAATTCTGGCGCGCATGCCGAGAAATCCCACTGCGGACTGCTTGATCCAGCCAATTCCAAGGATTTGAACCACATCTGGCGATGCACTCGGCCTTTCCTTTGCAAACCTAACCTTGACCCTCTCCAAAGGGAAACCAAAAGGCGGTGGTTCAACAACAGCGGTTTGAGCACGATTAAACAAGGTGGTTGAGTTCGCCCAGTCCCGTGCCTGACGCCACACCCAACTTCCGAGCCTGGTCTCCCAGCTTCGCCGGCACAGGGCCACCTCGCCACATCTCACCCAACGGACCATCCACTCGGCCGAGACATGGACAACTCCCCCCCCCCCCAGCCGTGCAGGGCCACTCACTGCAGAACTTATCAACTTCTTTTCACTTCCAAGCAAGAGCAAGTGGCACAAAGAAACGGCCGGCCGGGGGGTGGTGGCGGTCAACCTTGCTTGTCACGCATGAGCTGACCATATCCTCGGTAGTCTAGAGGCCCAAATTTCAACCACAAAAGCCGGGGGGCCCCTTTGTTCTAGAAGTGCTGCGCTGGTCCTGGGACGGCAACCGAGAGACCATGCAAAGGAGCAGGGCAACGTTTGGAAAGAAAGCCTCTACGTCATAAATCGGTTTCAGTCAAGCAGATGTCTAGCGAGAAATATATTTTTTTCCTCTATTCCCAGCTCGTGAGACCCTTGGTCTGTGCTTCC